AGCCAACCTTTGTTGCTACACTGGTGGAGTAGCACAGGAATGGTCCATGGAACAAGCTACAGAAGGGTAGGTCAAATTGGTATCACTCGTCCTTACATATGAATGACAAGTGCAACTTAAATTTGAAATGGGATCAATACCGATCCAAGTTTTATAGGTTGGAAGCTGAATGAAATTGTTTCACTCAGCTAACTGGGATGTCTCGATCAACTGCAGAAATAGGACTCGGGTAGAATGCGACCTTTTGATTCCAAGCTATCAAGGAAAAATAGAGTGCTCTTAAGAGGGTAATGCATTCCATTACCTTCTACATTTAAATTTGAATATGTGTTGTGTACTACTGCACTACATTATGGACAATACTCATAACAGCTTTGGCTATTTGACGACCTTTTGTTTCTTTGCTACTTAAATATAACATTAGCTTTGGTTTGGCTCGTCGGTTATGAAGCTTAAACTGTTTTATATGCCTAATTTAAGACTTGTGCTTTTCAACCTAATGTGCTGATGTAACAAAGAACCACAGTAGGGAAATACTGACAACAACCTGTGTTTAAAACGTTTGCCATTGCTTAAATTGCTAAACTCACATCAAAGTGTTCATAATTGGTGATTATTGTTGGATCTGAGATGGATTTGTCTTGTACTTGATACTTATTTTGCATCTAACATTACATACTCAGGTTGTAGAGTTTTAATTAATGCTACTGGATTGCCCTTTTCCTTTGCCTTGTAATTGAAAAAATCCTAGTTGTACTAGATCTGTTTAAAAATTCTCTACTATGATTTAGATAATGCTACTTGTTCAGGGGTTGCATACTAGTGAGTAAATATTTGAATGGCCAGAAAGCAAGCACTTTGCACAGTTCAAAGAAGGTCGAAACTGTGGTATTTTCTTTGAGTTGACTGAAATTCTGGAGAGGCACACAGGTACCAGTAAACATGCCCAGTCATCCGCCCAAAGTGATGTCCACCACTCTCCGTGGTCTACCGAAAAAATAGCAGGTGCAGTCAACAGAAAGGCGAAACTCGATGGACCTTGCTCCGACTTCTGGGAGAGGATGTGTACATCTCTGTTCATGATGATGAGGTTGAATTTGTTTCAAAGAGGCCTGGTAAAAGACCTATATCAAGCTTGGGGAATTTGTCACATGATGGATCTAGAAGCACTAAATCTCAAAAAACCGGGGATGCTCTAAGAGACGCAGCCACCCACATCAGCAAGTTGTCACAATTGAAAATTGAAGATAGAGAACGATGTAACGAGTAGTGTGTCACTACATTAAAGGTTTGAGATAACAGCTATCCGAAACATGAGTCTATTAAGCTCTAGTCTCAGAAACAATTGGCCTGCATGAAAGAGTTTGAAAAGAGTGAGAAGTGTTGCCAAATGTTCCTCTTGTCGGATGAAAGCTTCCAGTGTTACTATACTGATACCATTCTGGATCCCTAAACCCCACAACCATCACACACTTGGTACTCCCTGAAACCTTTATAGTTGGTGAGCAATTTTGTAGTTTGGTCTCACCAATCCCAAGCATTCGGCATATATGTTGTTACTATGTGAAATTTGAATATGTTAAGTGATTTCAACTATGAAATTAGGGGAACTGCTTACATTTTTGCCCTATGTGAAACTTGATGTGTGTTTCGATTAGAAGCGGGGACATTAAAGACGTGGTATTCATTTTAATTTGAACGAATTGTAATGTGATCACTTGGCTAAAAACTTTTAATATTGTGGATATTGCATAGCTATTACTGGAGGTAAATTATTACACATAGCTGTCGGGATCCATATATACACACATCCTAATATAATTATATATTTATTTATGGATATATATAACCATATATAACGATAGATATAAATGCATATATGAATATATATATATCCATATATTATATAAATATATATGGTATAGCTATATATTTATGTATATGTAAACATACAAATAGATATATGTATATATGTATATATACATAGTTGTATATAAATAAATATAGTTATATTTATGCATATATTTATATAGAGGTACATATGTAAATGTATATGTGTACTCATTGAAGTTCTTTTTTGTATATGTATATATACTTTCTTTATAGCAGATTATATGAAAGGATTTTTAGTGGTGGAGAAATGAAAATGAAATGTTCATCACCTGAATTCAAAACATTTGTTTTATACGTTTTGATTGGAATGTCCCATTTATCCTCATCAATTACAGGTAACCTACTGGTGGCATTCAAATACAGCTCACTGAAAGTTGATTTGTCTTGTAACAAGATATTTGCATGACATTGAGGTCTCCCTGATTATGCTCTTTATTACTCCAATGAACTGAAATCCGGACAAAAGCAACGTTGTTGTTTTGAATTCATCCCCGCACGCACATGGCTTTTGGCTGATGAAAATGTAGAGATTGCAACTTTTACTCCCTATTCGTGCTCTTCAACAGTTGATACCACTAGTGGCTAATGATGCATATGGCCATCTACATTGTTAAAATTGTATAGCTTTATTAGACATTCGGATGGAAGTACTTGTGTTTTAGCAATGAAAGTGGAAATGTTTTCACGTAGACCCATTAAAAGTTCTGTAAACTTATTGGTAAGGAACAAACGAATAACTGTATGGACTAGCCAAAAATAAGATTGTGTGAGATTCCTTGTATAGCTGCCAACTACACTGACTCATACTTTGCCTATAAATTACTGCGAAAGAGTATCGGCTACCTACTTTCACAACGGTGTAGGCTAACCTTCCAGACATATATTGGTTGCTCGAGACACTAGTTTGACGGTATCACAATGCAGGTAAATGTATCATAACAAAAAACCTATTTGTCCTATCACATTTGTCTATGTAAAATTAGGTCTTCTCCTACCAAGGATTCTTATAACCTATGCATTGTCTAATGAAATTGGTATTTTGAAATTGGTATAGTTTGCTTGTATCGAGAGAGAGTAGAAGCATGGACAGGAACTGGACTACTTGGGGAACTTCTTATGACCAAGAGGAGGACGACGAGGATTGGCAACTAATGGAATGGACAATTCTTGTTCTTTTCAATTCGGTAGCCAAAATAGCAGTCGAATATATATTGCCACTGCCATGTAGAAATAACATATTATCGGGAAGAGATTATGTCCAAGAAATGATTCATAGATATCCAACAAGGATTCTTGAGAATTGTAGGGTCATAGTGGACTCTTTCATGCGATTATGTGAAATTTTGGTTAGTGGAGGATATTTCCCGCAAAACCCTCAGAAAGAGTAAAAATAGAAGAGGCAGTGTGTATGACATTGGTGATATTATGTCACAACCATCGAATGCATTGTCTTGCTGAACGATTTCAGCATTCCCTGGAAACTATATGCAAGAACATTCACGAGATCCTACGAAGTCTTTGTGAATTAGGAAAACATCTTGTTTGACCCAGAGGCCAAAACAATATGCATCCAAAAATTTATACGGATCGAAGATTCACCAATTGGTTTATAGTAGAAAATTTTCGCACCCTTTTCGTAATGCATATTTTTAACGATTACAAATCGATTATTTACTCCTAAGATTAATATTTTTTCTTGCCATGAATAATGCTATTACAGACATCACACCAACTCATTTATTTCATGCATAGAATACGGTAGGTGCAATGGATGTGACTCATATTCCAGCACATGCTCCGCCTAGGAAACGTGTCACATACAAGTATAGGCATGGCCAAACAACTCAGAATGTGTTAACCATATGTGGTTTTGAGATGCACTTTATATATATTTATGCTGGATGGGAAGGGAGTACCCATGATACACGTGTTGGATGGAGCACTAACAGGGCTCACACATTTTCCAATGCCTCCGCCAGGTGGAAACAATTATATAATAATATTTTTTATATATAGTTTAAGTGTTTATTCTTGTACCAATCACTGGTGTTTTTTTTCCCGTTCAGTGAATGTCATGGTAGGAAAATACTACTTGATTGACGGTGCATATAGAAACATTCTAGAATTTCTTGCACCTTATCGTGGTACACTCAGATAGCAAGTACAAGGACGACGAGGTTTTACCTCCTTGCAGCAGCTTTTCAATATTCGCCTTTCATCGTATTGAAATGTAATTGAGGGATGTTTTGGGGTGCTAAAAAGATGATTCACCCATATTGTGCGGTCCAGTGCCAAATTTTTATATGACTACATAAATAAATGTTGTCATCACTTGTTGCACATTTCACAATTTTATACGAGACGAGTTGCCAGTGGATGACATCTTCAATGACCACAAACAAGAGATGGAGGTTGAGGGAGAAGGTAGGGTACCACCAAGGCCAGAAATCCAACCTTTCCACGCCTCGTAAGAAGAGGTGAATGAATGGCATGGAATGAGGGATGCAATGGCAAATGGAATGTGGAATGACTACAGAAGTGGTAGGCGAAGGCAATAGGAAAGAAATTGTCAATGCTCTTGCTTTAATTTTAGTGTGTCGGCGTACGGAATATACTAAACATATAAAGTATAGTTATCATCTAATATCAACTACTTTGATAATTCTGTTTGGATCATGATTGTGTGTGCTAGTTGGTGAGACACCACTTTCCGATTAGAAGCACTTATTTGTATTTGCTAATTTGAATCTGTCGAGAAATTACTTACACTGTGAAACAAGAGTTAGAGATGCCACGGTACTCGTGTTTTTAATTGTTTCAATAGTTTACAAAGTGCAAAGGCAAATTATGCACTTTCAAATAATTATGACAAAAATTTAGAGGTATAGAATTAACAATCCATACAAAAATCCTATTTAGAATTCAAGAGAAATTAACTATCCAAACATAATTCTCAATATATTCCAAATACTTTGACTGGAATAAAGATAATTATTCCAAAGAATACTTTATCAATCCATACAGATCCGAGACTGTTGTTATGATTCGGGTCGGGTCGATTGCACAAGAATTAACCCCAAAAAAAATCTCAAATAAATAAAGAAAAGCAAGCAAAGAGAGCGAAAGAAGGAAGAAGATGAGCAGCAGCAGCAACGTCAACTCAGTATTCTATGCAGAATCATACCATCCAATTCAAGCAGGAAGCATCGATGGAACCGACGTTCTTCCTCACGACAACGCGTCTACAGAGCTTTCCTTTGCACCAACTCTGGCCTCTGTAACTTTTCCTATTGCTGATTTCCTTCCCAGGTTCTTGTTCATTCTTTTTTGCCATTTTTTCCCACTTTTTATGTGCCCATTTTCTTGCAGATGACCCTTTCGGTGATCCAAAGGTGATTGGTGACCCCTATTGCACGATTTTTGTGGGCCGTCTTTCCCACTCCAGCACTGAAGAAACTCTTCGCCAGGTCCCTTTTTTTTTTATTTAAGTTTCATTTTCTTCATTTTCACTTTGTTTTGTTGGTTTTTGGTTATGGCGTTGTATTTGAAAAGATTACTTTTTGAGCTTATCTGTTGAATTGGGGATATGGGTTTTGTCTATTTCTTCAGGCTATGAGCAGATATGGAAGAGTAAAGAACTTGAGATTAGTCAGACACATTGGTTAGTTACTAATTTATCCACTGATTTATGCTGTTCGTTTTTTTTTATCAACTTTAATTTCAATTGTATTTTCGGTTTTGAGTATTATTGTGTTATATTTTACTTGTCTGTTTATGATTTGTAAAGGAAGTTATAGTTTTTCTACAATTAAATGTGAAGCACGCTAGCAACCACCAATCGTTACAAGTATTTATGATGATATATGGTTTTTCTCGGCCCGGAATTTTGTCTTTCTTTTCTTCAGTTGCTTGGAAGAAAGTAAGATGAAATGCTCCATTATTATAGCTTTGTTGTGTAGCAAATCTTTTTGCTCACAGTTTTTTACTTGTAGAAAGAACGAAAGAAATAGAAGTGTACTTGGTTTTGAAATTGTAACACGCTAGGGAGATGTTAAGTAGGTACTTGGTTTTGTAATGCAGTCTAGTATCAGTTGTATGGGGAGAACAAATGCAAAGGAGAAATTATAGGGAACCTAATCTTTTTTTAATCAATTGTAACACCCTTTCTGTTGCAACATATAGAATGATCCTAGTTGAATCCATGACTAGAAACTTTTACGGGAATTTTGTCCACGTCTCAGAATGGCATCTTTGAATTTGCAAATGAGTTGCTGATGTAAATTAATCATTCTCATGATTGCTCTGCAGTCACTGGTGCCTCACGTGGTTATGCATTTGTTGAATTTGAAACAGAAAGAGAAATGAGGCGAGCATATAAGGTGAGTCTACTTTGTTATATATGAGAGGTTGTCAACCGTGTTTAGTTCTCTCCCTATTTACGTGAGTGTCAGTTCTTTGTTGTTCTTTCCGTTTGTCTGTTTAATTTGATAGTCTTAAGAGTTTTTCCTTCAATCTGTAAAATTTTATCTCTTGACTGGATTTTGGCAATGCATGTATTTCCAAATTGTTTAGCTTTACTCTGAGGAACGTACTTTACGACTACCTTATAGTTGGCTATCACTTTAATGGCTAGCTGGAGCAATCATGAAATTTGGCATCTTGATTCATGCGTGCATTAGTTCAACTGTTGATCTATCAAGGTCATCTTTTGATTACCACTTTTTGTTTTATTTTCTTTAACTGCTGCCAGTCTCTGGAGCTTTTTGGTTCTGGTACTAACTAAAAATGGGCAGAAATGAGGAGCCTGGCATAATTTGTTTCAGGGCTGAGGTTTTTTAAGTCAGAAACCTTGGAAAAGACCTTCAACTTGTCTGAGATTGGTTGCCAAAAAGTGTAGACTAGCCATCTTTCTGCTCAGTAACAAAACAAAGTTTCACAGCAGCTTGGTAGTAGTTAGAATGCTAATTATGAGTGAATTAGGATAATGTAAATTTTTACTTCAAAAGGTCAGCAGCCAAGGTAAAAATTATGGTTCTACAAACTAATCTTGTGATAGATGTGTTAGATATTACACTATCTATGTGTGTAATTTAAGACAAGGAACCCTGTTTCCTTTTCACGCAGAGAGATGCCGAGTTCTTGCATATACTCTCTTCCTTAATTTCACCACAACCCTCTGTTGAAGCATTCCCTGTTCCTCTTGAATTTGGTTGCATGAGATGTTCTCGATAATACGTCATGTAGGATATGACTTATTAGCTAGCAGATCCTGGAGTACATTTTCACTGTAAAATCCTGGTATTAACATGTTTATCCGTACTTCCTATTTGTTGTGGGATTTAAGTCTGAGATACTTAAAGGGATCATCATAATCAGAAAAATACCAGATGAAAAACCTATTTCCACATCTTTTGTGCAGGATGCTCATCATACCTTTATTGATGATTCGGAAATCATAGTTGATTACAACAGACAGCAGCTCATGCCAGGCTGGATCCCAAGAAGATTAGGTTTGTCAAATCTTTCTAATCTTTCGAAGCCTTATTATGATTATTATCAACTTTAATAGTTATTTTTCTTTCCAGAGGGGGTCTTGGTGGTAGAAAAGAGTCTGGGCAGCTGCGTTTCGGAGGGCGAGAACGACCATTTCGTGCTCCCTTGTATGTGTTAATCCTTTGCTTCTTGAACCATGCTAACTAATTGACTGGAATTTTTCTAGATGAAAGTTGCAACAGAAGGTATAAGGAACGTTAAATAGTCCATTAGAGTTGTTTTCTTATAGGTTATGCCTTGGTTATTTTTGGCCACTGGGATATTTTCTCTTGTTTCCATTTGTAATAATTTAATCGCTTTGTGGGATATATAGATTACATAATGGGTGACTGTTTTCTTTTGTCTTAGTAAAAGGATGTTTTCATAAATAGAACTTTTGCAAGTGGGAAACAAGTAGATGTCACATAAATTTTGCTAGTGACAGATGTTAATGCAAATTTTATTGATGCATACTCTTGAGATTTAGGAAAGTATCTGCTGCGTTATCTAAGCTTGTAAAATTAATCTACTTTTCTCAAGGAATATGTTGTTACCGATTCAGTTATTGGATTTCAGCACTTCTGTTTATGGATTCAAATGTTTTGAGCATCAAGCTTATTTTCCACATAAAGTTGAAATCAGATTTCACTCTTTTGGTAGACTTTTATTAGGTTTACCACCTTGGTGAACATTGCGGATAAAGAAGATGATCCTAATTTAGACATTGGTTGTTCTTCAACTGGATCACTTTATGATAAATTCATTGATTGAATCACATAATTCAACAATTCAATGAAGGGTTGATCCGTTTTCATGGACTTCCATATTCGCACTGAAATGACTTGACCGTCACTTGCAAAACAAGTATTGTAATCCATTTTTAAGAATCTTGTCTTATGATGTATTGCATGTATACCTAATTGTTACATGTTATACATGAAAAATAAACCTTTTAAAAAAAAAAGGAAATGCTTTGTTTCCATTTGGCAACCTAGTTTTGAGAAGAATATTCAGTATCATTTTTCAAAATTTACAAACTAAAACACTCTCTTCCCAGAGTAATTTTGATATTCTTTTTAATGTCAATTGTCTGATGCGAAAATCCAATTCCGTTGTACTATATTGACCTATTATACTTGAGATTCAGTAATTTGCTACATTTGATTAGTTTAGCCCCTTGAGATGTAGCCAATCTTATACCTTAAGTATATCTTCTGTTGCAACTGTTTTAGATACACTGGAGGAGTTGATCTTGTACCTTTTGTTGCAGTTTGATATGTCAATTGTCTGATCATTCCCAATTTGATTAAGCTGTGTCTGGTCTCTCTCTTTTCTCATTATTCTAAATCATCATGCTCAGCCCCAGTAACACATTCAATTTGGGAAGTTCAGGAATTTAGGAAGCATAGTCTTTTTCATGACATCTGATTCCTGGGTTCAAGCTATACACTAAATTAGCAAACAATATCAGAGTTAAGTTCATTGAATTATTTGAAAAGAAATCCTAAAGAGTTCCAGTTCCCTAGTAACTCGTGAGATTTGTTGATGTTTAAACCTTGCACCTAAGTCTGTTTGGTCCAGAATGACCATAAACTGTAGTATTTTCTTATCCTCCTTATTCATACTTGTCATGGCCTTACACCAAATGGTAGAAATTCTATGATTCCTTCTATTTCTACTGTTTATTCAAATGCCCTTTTAGTATTCAAATATTAGCAAAAGATATCAAAGTTAACTTCATTGGAATATTTGAAAAGGGATCTTAAAATTCCCTGTGCCTAAGTAATTGTGGGTTGTTTGGTCCAGAATAGCCATTAAGTAATAGGCTATAGTTTTTCCTTTTCCTTTTGCTTCGTCTTTGTTTTGTCTTGCATCAGATGCTGAAAATTCTCTGGTTCCTTCTGTTCCTATTGTCTAAGTGCACGGCAGTCATCCACAGTGAAACATATTGAAGCAGTTTTCAATAAACTATATATACAAATGAACCCTTTCTGTTGTGAATTTCCGAGTCCTCCCCACTTCCATTTTGAGGTTGTAGTGGCCTGCAATTTTAAATACAGTTGTCCAAATATTGAATAGCCATAATATTTTTCCCAAATATTCCCTTGTTTGCTCTTGAGTACTAGGCCCTACAGTTCTCCTATTTGTGTAAGTAAAAGGATAAGAGGTAAATTTCTCCTGTTAATAGGTGAATGAGACATGATTCAGTTGTATGATTGAATTGTGACCTCCCTATAATCAAGTTTTAGTTCTTGTTGTTCTGCCGCTTTTTTGCTGTCACTTTACCCTAATGCTTACTTTCACAACTTCCTAACAGCTATTAATGCAAGTCGAACTATTCTAAATTGAGAAAGAAATTGAAAATTCTGGCACCTGGAGAAATGCAACCGCACCTGACTTGACAAAAAGTGACAAGCAAATTATTCTTTGTTATCTTCCTATGTGATTTCTGCAGGCTAAATTAAGTTCTTTATTTTATTTTCATTGAGGCTGAAAGTTATGGAGTCCGTGACCAACTGCTCACATGAAAGATGCAGCGAAGGTATTCAAGGTAGAATGTTGCCCCAAAGAGTTAGCGGCAGTTGGAAAAGAAATTGCTAGGCAATGTCAAGGATTGCCTCTTGCAATTGTTGCTGTAGCTGGTATACTGAAGATGACAGAAAAGAGCCGAAATTCATGGAAGAAAATAGCAAACAGCTTGAGCTCCCAGGTACTCAATGGCCCAGAAGCTCAGGGCCAGTCAGTCCCAGAACTAAGCTACCAATACTTGCCCGAGTATCTAAAACCATGCTTTCTCTATATGGGAGTTCTTGGTAAAGACAAAGATATTCTTGTTAGCAAGTTGATTCAGTTGTGGCTTGCAGAAGGGTTAATACCAAAAACGCAGACAAAGAGCTTTGAAGATTTGGCAGAGGATTTTTTGATGGAGTTGATTGACGCAAGCTTGGTAATAATCTCCAAAAGAAGATCCAATGGCAAAGTCAAAGCATGCCGTCTTCACTCTTTTATGCTTGATTTCTGTCTGTCAAAAGCCGAAGAAGCAAACTTCTTTCAGTTAGTAACCAGGTGTGATAAGCCATATGCTTGGTTTCCCAGTTCAGATTATAGTTTTGAATTTGATTTTTACCATTTGCCTCCTGTTTCATTTGCATCCTATCGGTTGGCTGTAAGTCTGAAGCAAAATCATTTTCTTGGATCAAGACCTTCTGGCCTGGGCACCCGTTCTTTGGTTTTTTTTGCCTCTACAGATTCCAAAACTAGACGGCCTTACGACATCTCATTAATTTTGCACAACTTTAAATTACTTAAGGTGTTGGATTTCGAATGCATGGACATGGCTTCTTTTCCTGTCGAAATTGGACTACTGATTCACTTGAGATATTTAGCTGTTGGGGGGTATGTGACATCTATTCCAAAATCATTAGGCAACCTCAGGAAACTGGAAACTCTTATTGTGAAAGGATTGAGTGGTAAGATCATCTTGCCAGATACGATTTGGAGCCTGACAAGTCTGAGGCATCTTCATGTGAAAATCCATGTTGCTTTCAACTTGGATGATGCAGTGTCTGAAAACTGCTCTGTTTTAGAAAATTTGGTCAGTTTTTCCTGCCTGTCTCTTTCTTGTGGTGAAGATGCAGAAAGGATGCTGAAGAGGTTTCCAAATCTTTGCAAACTGAGTGGCATATTCTATGAATCACCAGATTCTTCCACGAACTGCAATCAGTTTCCGAGATTGAAATGTCTAACTCATTTGGAGTCACTCAAGATATTCTACTATGGAAGCCCTCTTAACAATGGCGAGTTCATCCTCCCTTTGAATCTAAAGAAATTGACTTTATCAAACTTTCGCCTTCCATGGAGTCATATCTCCACAATTGGGAGACTACCAAACCTGGAAGTTCTCAAGTTACTTTCTGGTGCCTTTGAGGGGATGATATGGGACGTGGAAGAAGAGTTTCAGAATCTTAAGTTCTTGAGCTTAGACAATTTGAACATTGTTCAATGGAATGCCTCTTGTGATGATTTTCCCAAGCTTGAAAGACTTGTCTTACAAAATTGCAGAGACCTTGGAGAAATTCCGTCGGATTTTGTGGATATACTTTCACTGCAATTGATTGAAGTGAATTGGTGTGGACAATCTGTAGAAGAATCGGCCATGAATATTAGTGAAGAAACAGGAGAGGTCAAAGTCGTTATAAAGAGTTCATGTTGGAGATCATGATCAGCATGAATTGGATAAAACCTCTTTATACTTCCTCTGATCACTCGTAAGTCTATTATATGAATTTTCAGCAACCTATCCATTTTCTCCATTCATTTGTGAAATGAAATTCCTCTTATTTATATTTACTGGAGTACATATGCTAGCTGAAAAATATAGATAACTAGAAATTGTTGGGACTCATTGAATGTTATTCTCTACATGCCAGCAGTAATTCGGGTGTTTAGGTTGTCAAACCTTTATGCCAATTTCAAAAATAGCCGCTTTCATTTTAACTTCTTATCTAACGTTTAGGCTTGAGAAATCACGTTTGATTCTTGTCTTCTGAGACCATTTTTCTTGCCCTTTCCCAGGTCTGTAGCTGGCAAGGCTCAATCGAAACTTGAGAGCCCCTGTTCACCACAAGCAAGAACTTTTGGCCAAGCTTTGCCTTACATTGGAGCTTTCCCTTTTTCATGCTCTGTATTGTGCTTTTGATCTTTGGAACGAATGTGACAATGTGACTTATTTTGACTGGCTTTGGATATTAGCTTTTTCCGCCTGCTTTTTATCATACAGTGGGTTGTCTATTTTGAATTTATCATACAATGCCTGCTTGTAGATGTGTTCTGAGAATGTTTGTTTGATGAAATTGAATTACAGTTGCCTTTCATCATCAAGAACTTTCCTTATTCAATTTATTTTTTGTAATTATACTCACACACACATATATATTTGATCTTGGCAGTAGGGACCATTTTGTTGATTCAATGCAATTTATGCTAGGTTTGGAGAATTTATTTGATTGGATATTATTTAGGACAAATTGCCTTTTATCCCCTGTAGTTTGTTGCTTTACCATATAACCGTCTTATTGTTTAAAAGTCTATATATAACTTCCTCATGGTTTGAGTTAAAATATCACCGTTAGTTTTTTCAGTTAAAATTAACGGTCAATAATTAAAAGTCAAAGCCAAACTAATAAATTGACAAATTCATCCTTTAACTACTTTTTTCTTTTTTTTTTTCCTTTTCTTTCTCTCTCAATTTTTTTTTTAGGAAAAAGAAGAGTTGATTTTGAAAACGTATATTTTGGCCTACAAAAACTTAATTTTGTCCAAATACAAAAGAGATGGAAACGAAATGAAAAAATAAATAAGAAATAAAAAAGATGGAAAGGTAATATAAAACAAATAAATAAGAAACAAAAAATATTAAATCTTTTTTAACTACAAATATTATTATAGGTGTTTAAACCAAATCTTTAATGATATTTTCTAGTTCTTATTTATCTATTTTTATATTTCAATTTCTTCTTTTTTATGTTTGGAGGAGAAAAAAGGTAATGAAAGGATAGCTTTGTCAATTTATTAGTTTGATATTGACTCTTTACAATTGGCCGGTAGTTTTAATGAAAAAACTAATAGTAACACCTTAACCTAAATCATGAGGGGATTATATATAAGTTTTTAAACCATAAGGGGTTTCTATGTTAAATCACCAAACCATAGGGGGTAAAATTTGAATGTCCCAACCTACTTAATGTATTTTAGCAAAACTCAAAGCATGATTATTAGATTTCAATATTTGCCATAAGAATTAGCTTTTTGTAATTCTGGTAAAAAATAATTATCACTATGATATTAAAGTATTAACACGAACAACTATAACATTTGAAGTAACCTTAGATTACATAGATTCATTGTCTGCCAAAAATTTTTTTTTTTTTTTGAAAAAACAGTTTGATACAATAATTCTCATATTATGATAATCTAAATACAGCTAGACAGTAATCAACAGAATAAAAAAGTTAGGAGGGATGTTCTTGTCACCTTCCTATTAGACCATTAACAAACGATCAATGCCTGAATATGAAAGTTTCTGGGTTCTTAAATTCATTGTTCATGTATAAAAAAAAAAATGCGAGCAGAAATGTGCAAAATAAAACGTTTCGACTCTAACCATTGCATGGAAATGGGGTAATTTGTGAAAGAAAAAACGTGTTTAACTAACTACCGACTTCGGCTAATGTTATGAAATAAAAGAATTTGAAGAACGTTTCCACAAATGGAGGTTGTTAATTATTTAATAAGCACTTCAATGCTTATGGAGGTTTCCTGCATTGCTTTACAATAACTTTCATTAAGTAAATATGCCGAAGAATAAATGTTTAGCTCCATTAGCCTACAAAATACAAGCTAGAGAATGCACTTTAAGTCGCTATTAATAAGACTTATGTGTGAGAGAGAAAGAACTAACACTTTAAGGATTATGCAGGTCTTTCGAATTTCTTTATAGGATTAATTTTATATACGCTGCCAATGTATATATATACTATCACCATTAGATATATAATACATGTATAAAATTTAAATTTAAAATTTAAAATTTCTTCATATATCGTCCATCCAATCATGATAATATATATAGTGACAGTGTATATAAAATTTACTCTTTTCTGTAATTCCAATTCTTGACTGTGTTAGTACATAATGCATCCGCATAGGCATGGCATATTCCCAATGTACTTATTCAACTTTTAGCAACAGCAAAGGGCCTACAGGCAAAACTTTTCAACTATGTTTTTTTTTTTTTTTCTGTGGAAACGATAGGATTCAACTATGCTTTCTTGACAGGTAACCTTTTACACATTTGGTAATGACGAAACTCCTACTTTACTTTCTGTTGAAACTAGAGAGCTAATCTCAAGGCCTGGACCTTAAGTCATGTTACAATAAATAAAATCAGTATGGACCATGAAGACTGTTTGATCTACAGCCTACATCTAATACGTGAAAAGCCGTCTGATTTCATTAATGACTATTAAGCATTGTAGAGCTCTCAAAGTTTGTCGACTACAGCATGCTCAGTGTAAGTAAAATTTAGTCATTATTCTTGCATGTGAGAGTTTAAGGAGACAAAGTAGGAATTTTGGATCCAATTTATTACAAAATAAAAAAAAAAAGAGGATTTAACCAGGTTGCGACTCTAATTTGACATGATAACCAGTTCCTCAAATACCAATAAGTGTACTGTACTTCAAAAGGACTGAGGATTTGTAATGAGGGACAGCACAAAGAAATGCTTTTGTTCTGCACAAGTTTGCCGAGAGGAAGAAATTCTGATGCTCAGTGACTAATGAAGCTCCAAAGACCTGTGTACTTTCTAGTGATTATCAAAGGTAAATGAAGTATGTAAAACTTAATTTGTTTAAACATATTCAATAGATCTGCAGTCAACTTTTCCATGCCTTGCCTATAATAAACTCTCAGTGGTTCATTATTATTTGTTTCAAGTAGTAACCATACACTGTGACAAAAGAGTTTCCTTCAAATTTACTGGATCAAGGGCCACAGTCTTCATTATGAAAATAATTAGGTATTCATTGTTGTGTTGTATATGCAAGTGCACAAATTTTATTTGTCTTTCAACTATATAGAACATAAACTCATCATGGTAGCCAATAGAACTTGATTGTGTACTAAGTGATGCTTCTTGACACAAATTCATGGTACCAAAATACTGCATCTTCCACTACATTCACCTTGTGTTCATGTGATCAGGCCCCAAACTGAATATTTGTGCATTGACTGGCACTGAAAGTAAAATTGAGCAGACCTTGACACCAATTTGTCTCTATGTATTGTCCGAATAGAAATGAATCTGACCAGCTGGTCGGAAAACACCAGTGAACAGCAATAAACAGAAGCAACCAATCTTCTCAGCTCATGCGTTTAAGTTCAAAACTGTGAAGTTGCATTAGTGTGAAGATTATATAATCAAGTTCACACCAATCAAGGGTCATTTCCTTCTATCAGGTCAATTCTACACTAAGCAAGGATTATTTTTTGATATCATAAATTAATGTATTTAGAAAGAGAGGAAAAAGTAGAGAAAGAGAAGAAGAGAAACATCATCTGGAGTAATTAACAATAAATCAAGGAGAAAAAATAGCACAAAAGTGGGAATTTTGCTTCTACCACAGTAGATAACAGTAATTTATTAGAGTCCTCAGCTAAATTTTTGCTACTAGTGATCTGGATTCTGCCCATTTCAAGTTTCATTCTTCTGGCTTCAGCTCAAAGATTTTCTATGATTTCCAGAAGCACTTTCTTAGAACTCCCACCAACCTCATAGGCCTTCCTAGCTTCTTCTTTCACCTTCTTTGCCTTTATCCTGAGTGTTTTATCCTGCATCAACTGGACAATTTGATCCCCAATCTCCTCTCCCTTCACTAGATTCTCCCCCAGCCAACCCCAATGCCTCATCCACACTCCAAGGCCTGCCTTCTCTGTCACTTCTGCGTTCAACTTTTGGTCTCCATGTAGAGGCCAAGCCAATAGAGGCAGCCCGAATCGAGCTGCTTCAGTTACAGAATTCCACCCACAATGGCTTACAAATCCTCCGATTGCTGGATGCGCTAAAACTTGCTCTTGCTCCACCCATTCTTTACAAACTAGCCCCTTCTTCTTTGTTCTTTCAAGAAATGAACTGCCAAGCAAATCTTGCAGATCTTCCGTCTCGTCTTTGTCAACTTTTGTTGTCTTTATTACCCAAAGAAATCTGCATCCACTTCTCTCCAGTCCATTTCCTAGTTCTCTTATTTGTTCCTTTGACAATGCTGTTCTGCTTCCAAAGCCAACATAGACTACAGACTCATTTGGTTGGCCATCTAGCCACTGCAGATAAGGGCCAGCTTTCACGACAGCCTTACAAGGCTCGAATGGTCCTATGGGGAGGAAAGGCGGTAAATGAGCCAGCACCCTGCCAGTATTTACTGCAGCAATTGTTTCAGACTCAAACCAATCAAAGCTATTAAGTAGAATACCCTTGGCTTTCGAGAGAAATTGAGCATTTAAACGGATGTGGGCTGTGAAAATATGATCTGGAGTAAAGAAGGGAGGAGGAAGGCTTGAAATTGGCACCGAAGCTAAACCCGGAAGCTGAATGCTAGAGTCTTCCGAACTTTTGCTTTCGAGTATCAAGTCAGGAAGACAAGCGATAAGCGAAAAAAATCTAGCTGAAGAGGTGGATACAATGTAAAGGGGGATAGATAATTCATCAGCTAGACGATTGATATCGGCTGCAACAAGAAAGTCAGCGAAGATGGCTGATAGAGGCGGAGTAGATAAGGAAGCCAAGAGAGGATGCAGGAGATGAACTGAGCTACTAACAGCTCGAAATCGAGCAAAGAAAGGATCAGGTTTTTCCGCGTCTGCAAATTCGGATGGACTGCTGGGAATTAGGATATGAAAATCAAGCCGATTGATTTGAGGGTGGGAAGCAAAGAAGGCAGACAATTCGTTGGACTCTGCAGCAGAAACTGGAGGCTGAACAGCAATCAAGGTAACTCTGCATTGGCAATTAGGAGAAGCAAGCATGGCGGCCAATCTCAGAAATGGGACCAAGTGGCCTATTCCTGCACTAGGAAACAGAGCTACATGAGCAACTGCTCTCTTCTGGGAATCACCAATTCTTGACATTGACATTGTTTGATGAACTGATGATGCTGTATCTAGTCTACTTTGTTTTGGTGTATAGGTCTTCTATCCTCTGCTACCATCTTTAAATAGAGTAATATAATATCTTTTCTTATGAAAATATTTTATAATTACTAGAAACAAAAGAATCTCATATGGATTAACAATCTAATATGAACGTCAATACTCTATTGTCTCAT